AAGCAAATGTATGGGCGTCTGTACCACTTCCCGCTAGGTCCTGTGCGACATCCTTCAAAAGCCGATACCACTCGCATCGAGAGGCGAGGATGGTGTTGATTGCCTCGTGTGTCAGCGAGCAATCATGCAGCAAGCTGCCATCCAAATTCGATCGCACAGGAACTCGCAGCTGACTAGCATCAGGCAGCATCATGTCGTCATGCTCCCGACAAATGTCAAACAGCACTTTGACCAAAGGCGCGTTCTCCGGGTTGTGCACTTTGCCACGGATATGGATATCGGTGACTAGCAAACCACGGTTACGAGCTCTTTCTGCCACCTTCTCGAGCTCTAGCACAGGGCCTACGATACTTATCGTTTTTGGGTCTGTGATCGCCGAAATGTAGCACTGCATGTTGTAAGTAGCTGTTACACAGGAATGGAATTGCTAAATGCTGCTTGTTTGCTTCGGTGGAAGTCATGTTCCTGTGACACAAGTCCAAAGACCGACAGGGGAGAGGCCCTGCAGCGAATACGAAAAGAATCCCAACTTACTCTAGGAATACCTGCCACAAGCTCATCTCCTTGCGGAGGAGTTCTCAGGCGTACTGCGATGGTCGTGGCTCCCTCCACCAACTCGTCGTCACCCAATTCGCCAAATGCGCCAACGGCAAATGCCAGTCGTAAAGCTTTGGTTGCAAGATGGACTACCTCCTCCTCGTCTTTGGCGCAGGAAACAGCAAAGGCTGTAGGAAGACCTCCACAATATCCCTGAGCGCCGCCACCTTTCTTCAGGCTTGCCAGCATTCGCTCGTGCGTGAGACCATGCAACTTGAGCAACTGGAAGTACTGGCAGATCTGGATAACCACCAACAGCGGCAACGCTAGAATACCGGACATGGAGCTTGAAACAGGTCCAGATATTCCGTCGGTTATCCATCGCTTCAGACTGACGACATGTCGCTTGCCCGATTTGAGTTTGGCTATGTCCGGGTGGCCGTCACAAAGTATGGTCCATGTGTCCGTCAACGACGTGATGGCTTCTGCAAATGGGAGGAGTAGGGGCGTTTCAACAATGTACTTTTGGAGCTGCTCGAGGTACGCCTCTGTGGGGGCCTTGCTTTGAGGGCAAAAGAACGCCACAGAAGGCGCGAAATGATCAGACTGGCTGCGCATATCGAAAAATACCTAAACTGTCTACGGAATCACGAACGATTCGCTATGTTGAACCAGCTGGTATATAGACTGTTCCGCGAGCTATGATTCCTGTGATAACTATATACAACGTACTCTACTATGCGATTCATTGTACACAAGACTCGCTCACTCATCACTCCTAGCATTCTTTGAAACGGACCTACTTACATCCCCCACGATATAGAGATTAGGAGCTACTCTAGATTGTAACGCGCTGTGGAACCAGCCATCTCCACTTGTCTTGATCAAGTATAGGGTTGCATACGGTGCTTGCGAAGAGACGCCGAGTAAAGACCGTGTGTATCCAGAAAACTACCGAAGGCAAGAAGGTGTCGCGTGATGCCAATCGAGGAAAATGACATTCCTTATCGCACTTGAGAAGCGGTCAGTGCATGCCTTGGTTGATCGGACAAGCAATGAAGCTGGCTAAAAATGCCCATGGTCTTTCTGTACACACCACAGATTCCCTCGGAGCAACTCTGTGTCATCCAAGCATTGTGTATCTCATCATGACAGTTGTTCTACTCTTTCTACGCATTTTTTCGGTAGCAGTAAGCTACTTCACTCGTACGATGAGGGTGTAGAAATTCTAATCGTGATCAGATTACCTCCATCGCAGGATGGCTGTCGTACAATATTCTCATCCATCCACTTCGACACTACCCCGGTCCGTTCTTATGGCGAGCATCTCCTATACCCCGCATTCTTTCTAGATGGAGGGGTACTACGGTGTTTGATGCGCACCGTCTACATGAGCAATATGGGCCAATTGTGCGATTGAGTCCCTGGGAATTGAGCTACACCTCTAGCAATGCATGGAAGGGTAAACATGACCTCTTCCGCATACATACTTCTCGACACTGACTTCGAAAGACATCCATGGGACAGGCAACTACACATCTCGCAAGCCGCTGCCAAAAAACCCTCTTGCTAACCCTCCGCCTATGTCGGGAGAGCCGGGCATCATCGACGTGCTGGATGACGAGAAGCATCGAGAACAACGCCAACTCTTCAATCAAGGGTTTTCCACCCGGGCACTGAAGGAGCAGGAGCCCCTGTTGCTCAAGCACGTCAACAGATTGACAGCAGCCGTCCAGTCGCGCGCTGATCAGAGACTTGAGACAAACATGGTAGACATGTTCAACTTCCTAGCCTTCGACGTTATGGGTGATCTAGCTTTCGGCACCTCTCTTGGTCTATTGGAGCGATCAGAATACAACAGCTGGGTTCGTGTGATAGTCGCAACGATCAAAGTAGTCACCATCCGCATCGTGGTATTTTACCACGTTCCTTTTGCGTCAAAGATCCTGCCGCTCTTGGTCCCGAAGTCGATGAAAGCAAAGCGAGATGCGCACATGAAGTTCGCCGAAGATCGTGTGAAGGAAAGATTGGAAAGAAAGACCGATCGTCCAGATCTCTGGGGTCTGATCACCGGTGGACCCGGCGGAAAGAAAGCGAGCCTCTCTCTGGATCAAATGGTCGGCAATGCCGCTCTCTTCATGGTGGTAGGGTCAGAAACTACGGCAACAGTGCTTTCGGGAACGCTATATTTACTTTTGAAGAATCCCCACTGCATGATGAGATTGAAGCAAGAGATCTATGACAGTTTCAAGTCGAAAGACGCGATGACAATAGAGGCACTGCCGAGGTTAGCGTACATGAGCGCAGTTCTAGACGAAGCCATGCGAGTCTACCCTGGCGCTCCGGAGACGTTGGCGAGGTTGGTACCAGCAGCCGGTATGCAGATTTGTGGCAAGTATGTTCCGAAGGGCGCCACGGTGTTTATACTCCACTATCCGATGTTTCACTCCTCGAGAAACTTCGTCCGACCAGACGATTTCGCTCCAGAGAGATGGTTGCCTGAAGGCTCCGTGGAGTTTGAGAAGGACGACAAGAACGCGTTCAACCCTTTCTCAGTCGGTCCACGCGCCTGCCTTGGAAGAAAGTAAGTCCACTACCCTGGTCACCCTTATGCAGAGGCCTAATTCCGCCTACAGTCTGGCACACTATGAGTTGAGGCTTGCCTTGGGCCACTTGTTGTGGGACTTCGACTTCGAGCTCAACGAAAGCTGTGATGACTGGATGGATCAACAAACATACTCTTTCTGGCTGAAGCCGCCACTCATAGTCAAGGCTCGAGAGGCAGACCGGAAGCCATAGCCAGAGACTAGGGGTGGAAGATGGGTATGAGAGCAAAGCTACAGGTGACGCGCATGTCGAGGTATCTTGGGAGCTTTGGCTGTCTCGTCTAGCATATCTTACCACACAATTCACGCATAGTTCGGATCATACCTGCTTGCACATAAGATGCGTTATGCCATGTCTCCAGCCAACTCAAAGCAGCTGGGTCGAGCCAGGCGACTGACGCTTTTGGACGATCTGTTCTCTGCTTGTGCTCCGGTATTGGGTCAACAGATAACGGATTCTGAAGGTAGAAGGTAAACCGTAAGGATTCAACCTAGCAGCAGAGTTGTCACTTGCTGGTAGCATACATTCGGTTGAAGATCCGACATGCGCATGTCGTTTTCGGCCTGAGCGATGTCATGCATGCTTTTCGTGGCGCCGTGATGGCGCGATGTGCTGCCGTCGCAATTAGCACAACCGTGGATACGACACCAATGCTTATCGACCTTGCGTTACTAGGTTCGTGGCGGTATCTGGAAGGCCCTCATACACGCGGCGGCGAAACTGATGCCCGGGATACGAGAGACTTCGGTTTTTCTTTTTAGACCGAACGCCCGAACAACCTGGTAGCGGAGTGGCATGATTCAACAACTGAGGCAGCGATGACAAATCCTTGCCGTAGAAGAAGCGAATGCATATTGTGAGGACGTGCTGTTCATCCAAATGCTCCTGAGCTTTTCGCACAAACCAAAGATGCAGCCGCACTCTGCGAAGCGCACTGCCGAAGTCGGAGGCTCCCGAGGTCCCGAAGAAGTCGTTGTCTAGGTACGCGTCCATCCCCAAGCAGATATTTGCAAGACCCCGCGATCAAAGTTTCTGGCTGCTTTGCGCATTTTTCTCGACCAGGCTGTTGACAATACAGGCGTTGCAACATGGTAGACGCCGTAGGGAGGATTCATTGGCCGGGACAGCACTCTTGCAGCCTGCGTGATACGCACGGCCCAGCAGCCCGCAGGAGCCCCACGATCTTCGGCGGGTTAGAACTGAGTCGCAATGAAGCTTGTGCTACCAAGCTATCTTGGATTCCTTAAGGTCAACCCGGCGTCGGAATGCACGTGAGGGATCTTGGTCGCTCGGATCGTCCCAAGTGTGCGCACAAAGGCATGGGCGTTCATCGTCGCTCCGACCACAGCCAAAGCGACATCGATCATGGTGCGCCTCGCAAACTCGTTTCTGCAGTGATTTTTGATGTCTCATGTTCGCCGGGCACCATACACATGTCGTTAACAGGGGGCGGCGGTTTGTCGTGGATGTGATCGAGAGGCGGGCTGCTATGTGTCGGGGACTCGAGATCGAGTTTGGTTGGGCTGCATCAGGCTCTTGGTCGCCTTTCATCTCACAAGTAGCTTTCTGTCTTCTAGGCTTCGCGCTCAAGGCTAAAGTCTCTTCGCGAGTGACCTCGGACCTGTATATTCGCAGTAACATTGTGGCATACGAGTAAACGATGTAGATTCACCGATGGGCTAGAGGTAATTCCAAATCATCTGTCTCTTTGTTGTTTTATAGTAGAAGCTCAACAGCTCGGTAGTATCCGTAGACGACGATGATGTCAGTCCGCTCCACCACCACCTGGACCCTCGTATATGCAACAAGATCAGTCGGTACTGACTCTAGCGTGTAACATGTGCTAAACTTCAACACTAGGACCTACTATCCGAGCAATTGACTTCTGCATCCTCCTCAGCATGCTTCAGGCTCTGGTCCTTGCCCAACTCCGGGTTCCGGATGACCAGCGAGAAAGCGACAAGAAGTACTGCAAGACATATACCCGTGATGCAGAGTAATTTTTGCACGTGTCTGTATGCCTGTATCACAGCGATACGCTCTGGGGTTTGCACTGGGTATAGAGTTGCAAATGCAAACGGATCACCATACGCGACGGCTGCGAGCGAGGGATCGCCAATGCGACGGGCCAACTCATTTGGGATGATCTGCTGCCACATAGCACCTGAGACTGTATTACCAAGCGCGCTGCCAATGTTGTAGGTAGCGAGATAAATGCCCGTTACGATTGCGACGTCTGTTTTGGGTAGTTAGTATTGTCGCTTCAACTAGCGTGAGTTGCCATGGAAGAAACTTACGCTCGTGTTTTGTAGCAGCTTGGATACTGGCTTGTGCAGGATATGGAAACATGCCTCCTGCAATGCCCAAGCATATCTGCGCTCCGATGATGCCGGAATGCAACGAATCGCCAGAGCCGCCACGGTAGTAAATTAGAAGACCAAAAGCTACCACGAAAAGACAAGTTCCGGCGACGATGAAAGGTTTCAAGCGGCGGACCTTGAATACAACACCACCAAGGATCAATCCGGTGATTACCGAGGAGAAACTGTACAAAGAGCTGATGCGAGTTGCGCTCTTTACTGATTCATCAAATGCGACGACTAGTACAGTGTACAGGAAGTCGCCTTGCATGGTCCATGCAAAGTTCAAAGTGCAAGCAATACCTAAAGCACCCCAAACCGCACGATCCTTCAGTAGATGGAACGGGAGCATTGGATGAGGTGCTCTGCGTTCCCAGAGGACAAAGGCGGGGAGGCACATGAAGCCGATGATAAGAGGAGCAATGACTTTGGCAGTCCCCCATTGCGATTGCGCGCCACCTGCGATGGTGAGAGGCTCGTGGTTGGTCAGCAAATCGGAATCTCGTCTGGTGCAAACACATGCCGACTTACAGTCAGAATGCAGCCGAATACCGCAATAAGCAGCACGACGCCGGGGACGTCCATTTGCCAAAAGAGAGTGACTAGCAAATTCCTGGTACCGCCATGAACTTCGTATGGTGTTTGGTATGCATCGAATGCGCCGGCCCTTTTAGCTTGTCGGCTGGACCACATGAGCGAAGCGACTAGAGGGATGCAACACACTGTGTATATGATGCACCACATGCCTACCCCCCATCGCCAAGTGGTCTGACTAAGCACAGCTTGACTTACATCGCCGCTGACCCAAGTATTGATCTACCGAACATCAGAAACAAGCTAAACCGGAGCGTACGGTTATATTGCTTACCAGAAATGGAACGGCAGGTATGTATGAGAAGAAGAGTCGAGATCGAAGGGACGTGATGTCGGCTATGATGATTTCGATGAGCACGATGATGGTCGTATAGCCAATCTGTAGGATACCCGTTAGTATTGGTCTTGTCCGTTTGGTGTTGTTGCAGCACGCACTTGGTAAAAGACTGCGCCTGCGGCGAAGGACTCGACATTTGAACTGACGGATTCAATGACGGTACCTTTGGTCGTGTTAGTACGACTGCCAGAGCACAACGCTAAGCTCCCAGTTTGGTGTGTGCATACCGATGATGTAAAAGAGCATGGAGAGTATGACGACTTCTATGCGGCCAAAGACATCGGCTGTGACCATCGAGTTAGTTTCTCATATCTTCATCGGTGTGAAGACTCAACTTACCAATCTTAGCCGCAGTAGGCTGTTGAGCACACAGTGAGCATGGGTTTATACGTGGTAGCAGACTCTAAGACTTACCTGCGCAGCAGCGGCGATGACGCTCCTCAAGACATCTTGGTCAATGTTAGCGTTGGTGACTCGGAATGACTACAGATTTCACCAGACATACTAATGGTAGCCAAGGTGGAATGCTGTTGGAATCCCGCAGTGGCATATGGTTGGTAGGTGTATCGGAGCGTCCCATCCAAACCATACGCATACGCAATGAGGAAGATGCCGAAGAAGATGCAGCAGCGGTTGATGAAGGACGTGTGCGCGTTGAGGGCTTCGATGCGTGCGACACCCGGAGACTTTGCGCCTGGTAATGCGGTGGGGGAGGCTAGATCGGCGCCGGTTGCGGTTGTGTTGAATAGCGCAGTTTTGCCAACGTCCAAGTTGTGGTGATGCGACATGGTGGTTGGTGGATTGGTCGGCACAAGTGTTGCGAGGAGATGATGTGCAACAATGGTTATTTACCAGCGCCGGGCGGCAGGTGAAAAGAATGCGGGCTGCATATTTCATGTGATTTCCCAGTGCGGAACGCGTTACTACTGTACAAGCAAACGGACAGCTTCTCGGTGCTGGATGGAGCATAGTGCGGCTCGGGACAGCTGATTGATAAGATTAGATGCAAATTCTCGCTGGCTTGGCGTGACCCCCCGGCAGCTCGGAAAGCCTTGGCGGCGCCCAATCCCGACGTGTAAACGCGGGCGTACGGGCTGCTGTCGGAGGTGAAGGCGTCGAGGACGATGGGTGCTGCGGCGAGCGACGGAGGCTGGTGCTGACAGTGCCGAGGGGCTGCGTGTGTGAGATTGCAGGCGGCTGGCCCGTCGGTGCGTCGAGGCAGTACTTAGCAGACGCTGCACGCAGCAACATCGAGCAGCCATGGCCCACGCGTACTTTGGCGCGACAGACGACGGAGTGTATACGCCCATGGCCGTCGGCAGCGTAGACTCGGGGCTCGGCGCGGACCTCGACGACGGCCAGCCACAGCAGGCGCGCAGCAGCAGCGAGGAGAAGGACAGCCTGACGCCGGCGCAGAGCAGGCGCAAGGCACAGAACAGGGCAGCGTACGTGTCCCGCCCCCGTCCCCCATCCAGCGCCTCCGTGCTCATGCCTCTCCAGCCAGCGCGCCTTCCGCGAGCGCAAGGAGCGCCACGTCAAGGAGCTCGAGACGAAGCTCTCGGCCCTCGAGTCCAGCACCCACTCGCTGCAGTCCGACAACGACCGCCTCAAGGCCGCCCTCGACCGCGCCCGCACCGAAAACGACATCCTGCGCGCCACCACCCGGCGCTCCCCCTCGGCCTCGCGCCCCCTCTCCGCCACGTACCCCTCGCCGGGCGCCTATCTGCCCGTCCACGACCATGGCCACGACGACGACGACGACGAAGAAACAGCCACAGGCTACCGTGTCGAGTCCCTGACCAACGCCACCGTCGTGAACACGGCCGCGAAGGAGCATCCACGCACCCGCGCCGGGGCGAAAGAGGTCCCCGCTGCCCAGGCCTGGGACCTCATCCAGCAACATCCGCTCGTCAAGCAGGGTCTGGTTGACGTGGCCGACGTGTGCGAGCGCCTGAAAGGCTCCGCCAAGTGTGACGGCCACGGCCCCGTCTTTGAAGAGAGCACCATCTGGCGAGCAGTCGACGAGTCGCGCCGTTGCGGCGGCGATGAGCTCATATGATTGCTGCCTCCATACTCCTTGCGTCTTTTACTATTCTTTTGCGCTGCGACGCTGGCTTTGCGTTTTGGGCCTTGGGCGCTCGGCGTCCGGTGGCTGCACGAGCTTTCCCACAAGACGGGCGCTCCAGTGTTGGACAGATGGCGATGAGAGAACACTTTTTTTTTAGATAAGGCGAGAATTTTATTACGCCATGTGCTTGTTTGCCCATGCCACAGCCTGCCACGTAGCAAGTCGACTCTCAGAAATCCAAATTTCTTCATCTTGACTTGTTCACCACCAACACTCCCGTGTCCGGAGAACATGACTCCCCATCTTCAACGCTCGTACCTCAAACCAGCAGCGTAGAACAAGTCTACCAGTAAGGGGTCAGTCCACGACCAGAATGTATCTACTCAACACCGATCGAGGCGCCACAGTATCTGATACGTCCATGCGAAGCGAGCATCCGCCATCGTCAACTACTGCCTGGAAAGCCAACACATGTCTCAATGCCAGACGTTCCTCATACGGCGCGTACAAAGCAAGTCTCCGGGAGACAGCTTTGAGGTCGACGTCGTGGACGTCAACAACCCTACCAGGCAATAAGCCGTCACATTACCCTATCAGTACGCCTTCAGTCCCAGTCGCTATCGTCATCGTCTCCTGCGGTGTTGCCTTGTCTTATCCTGCTAGGGTTGGCGTCCTCGTCGTCTCTCTTCTTTTGGAGGCGCGAGTCTCCTAGTTTGACGGCGCCAACATCAACGAGAAGCCTTTCCAGATCTGTCATAGCAAGTTAGCACACCGTAATGCAGGACTGCCGTCAGGAGTTGAGGGACGCGACCCACCCTGTACACTTGTCCTCGGTCCCTTCAATTGCATCAGCGTAACAATCTGCCTCTTGATATCCCCGTCCTTGTAGATCAGCACCGTCGGCGTGTTCTTATCCGGGTACCCCTCGATGCAAAGATCCGCCCTCATCTGGCAAAACTTGACATCGCCAAATCTCTTTGCCAACTCCCTCCAATGCCCAATCATGACTCTTGACTCGGTGTTTGTGCCCGTCGAACTCGTCAACAAGACCAGCACATATGCCTTTTTGCTCTCTTCGGTAACGTCGGAAGAGTAGTCGGGTTTCTGGATATGATAGACTTGGTTGTACACCGAGGCGGTATTTATCGATGCAAGCTCGGCCATGCGCTTTTGACGGTACGAGTCGAGAAAGTCGTCGTCTTCTTCATCCTCTAGCTCGGCCAGCTCGTCCATGTCTTTGCCCTCTAAACGGTTTTCGTGTGCGAGTTCGCGAGCCTGCTCAAGCGCCTCCTGAATCATGGGTGTCGGCGATGGCGGCTTCTCGGGGATGACGCCATGTTTCCTGAGAATATCGTTCCTGACGCGCTAGTTTCAGTACTGTGTCTTTCGCCATCACCTAATGGTGGTTTGACTCACCATTCCGTGTCGGCGTTGGGGTCGTCGATTGGGACGTTGACGGGCATGTCTGGCATCTGCATGATGGTGGTGTGGAGGAAACGCCTGTTGGGAAGATTCGGTAGAGTGTGCAAAGTGCAGGTGGGTGGTAACAAACGTTTCTTCTAGACGTCTGGTGCCTGGAACGTCAGATATTTCCAACAGCGCGAAGCTCCGTCATGGACCCTGCCAAGCTGCCCCGCCCCCACCTCAGCTCCACGCGACGCCACCCGTGTCTCTTCTGGAAGCTGCGTCTTAGCTCCTCCATCTCGGTTACAGATATCTGCCATCATTCCTTTTTGTATGCAGCAAGCACGCTGTATTTACAGGCATTCTCCACTACATGTGAGAGTAAAATACGATCCGACTCATCCGTATAGATTCCTAAAATACACCACTGCGTACTTGATCATAATCTTTCCCCGTACTTGTTACCACGAGCTCGAATGTCCAACTTCTCCGTGGTTCGACCAACACCCTTTGCTGCCTCTTTCATTCCCTCTTATGTATGGTACATGTCAAGAATGCAAAAACCGATTATTTACATCTGTTTGGTCATCCTGACTTCGCACATGCACTCCCTTACTCACTTTTACCCTCCACATCTGCACGGTCTTAAAAGAACTTCCCGTTGCTGCCATTCTCGATGCTGCTATGCTCAATCACAGCCTCACCATCGTGCTCGTCGAAAGCACCAGGTCTATCGATGTTTCGTGGAAGAGGTCGGTCAAACGCGTCGAAGCGACGACCCTGAAACTTGGCCTTGATCCAGAGGAACCCGATGCGGAGAGCGCAAGCAGCAAAAGCCCAAAGAAGACCTCCGAAAGGCGCTGCTACGAAAGCACCTCGTCGTTGTTAGCAATCGTCATGGGCGCCGGAATAGCTTGCACTCACCGAAAGCGCTCCAGTCATTTGCGTACAATCCACCTTCCAACAACAGCAAGTTCCCGGCTAGAGTGACATCGCCATTGTAGTAGACAAGCCCAAACAAGAAGATGGTGAAGATACCCCCAAGGCCTCCAATAACAAAGTCGAAACCCCGGTAGAAGTAAAACTTGTCGCTCAGCCCGATGACGAGGCAAGGTACAACCGCTGCACTGACAAGATCACTGATTAGGAAAATTTGCAGGATATCGGGACTGCGCAGAGCCACGACGACAACAGGGAAGATGAGCGCCACAACGCACGCGCGGATGATCCAGATGTTGAGTTTGTTGCGGAAGAAATCATTGCTTCCCGTGCTGATCATGGCCGATTGGAAAGAGTCAAATGCAGCAGTGGAAAGCGAGATGGTCATGACGAGAACAACACCGACAACCCACGCAGGCAGCCGTTCTAGCAACAAGAAGAAGGCCAAAGAGCCGTTTTCTTCGTCGCCAATGGTATACGCACCAGACCATGCTGCAAGCATTCCTCCCACACCTAGCAGAGTGAGGATAATCAGTACGCCCATACTGGCGAGTGAGACACCAATCCAGAGATCCCTGTCCGTGCGAGCGGCGAAAGTACGCATCCAGAAGCCTGAGAGGAAGAAGTCGTTTGACAAAATGGCGACAGGGAGGATGTAGATAAGTTGCCAGCCTAGGAGGCTGGATTCGAGGTATCGGGATTGGTCGATGAGGGAGCGGTCGATGTCTGTTTCTACGCCGACAGCAATGACGCCCATGATGATAAGGCCGATGACCATAACGCCCTGGATGTTGTCGGTTACGAAAGAGACTTTGAAGCCCCCGAGCGCTGGAGTAAAGTTTTAGTTGATGCTCGTAGTTAGAGTTGCAACAAATCTTACAGGTGTAGATGGTAGTAACAGCGCACTCCACAATGACAACCGGAAGACCGTTCAGGCCCGTAAGTAGAGTGACGATTTGCTGCAAGGCCGAGAGCTCAGCGACCATGTACAAAAACATAGTGATGAGCGTGCAGACGCTCAGAAAGAGTCCTCCGATAGCTCCGTAGCGCTGCCTTGTCCATTCCGTCAGCACGAAGCCTTCAGGACACTTCCGTCTAATGATGGGACCCAACGCGCCAAAGATCAACAAGGGCAGGGACGATGATAGCGCGTAAACCAAGAGACCCTGTACACCAGCAATGGTAGCGATCTGAGGGTACGTGAACAAGATACCGGATCCGAGAGCTGTGATTAAAGAAGAAACCTAGGTCAGCCGTTTGCACGAGTGAGAATTGGGAGGGGGGTGCAAAGGGGGAAAGTAGCGGCAGCACGTTCCTCACGCAAGTATTATCTTGATCGAGTTCTTACGGTACTTCTCAGCTTCCCCTTCACCAGGCTCAAAACTACGCACAAGACAGACGGCCAGGCGTGTTTCGAGCCCAGCTCTGGTTCGGCGCCCGCAGTGTAGCCGCACAAAAGACCACCTCCCATGTACCCACATGCGATGGGGAACTGCAACGAGTTCTACAAGGCTGCAGTAGCAAGGGGAAGTGGCTCCTGTGAGAGATCTCAATACGAACCTAGAGGATTTTAATCCAGCTTTGGCCAAGCATGGAGACGCAAATTGCTTTGAATTGAAGCATCTCGCCATCAACGTCGAATGCTGGACGTCGTGGCAACGATGGAAAAGCCGATACTGCCGCTGCTTGTTCACGTGGCAAGAAGCACGCTGGGTGCACGAATGCACTCACCACTAGCGATGAAGTTGAAAGCGAGCGGGACTCCTAGGCCGCAAAGTCAGCCAGTGGCTCTTGTTTGTAGGGCAGGAACGCCAAAGTCTCGCTGCAAGCGTGCGATGCGACGGTTTTCTAACCCTTTTGTGTGCGGTTACTAGACAGCCATTCGGCCTTGGACTGGTGTCGCAATCGCCATGCGACGTAACATCCTAGCACTCTATTCCCACACAGTTAGTGCCCTCGTTCCCACTGATCGCCCGCGGAGTCGCTGGTGTGAGCTTACAGGAAAGCGCCCAGGGTAAGGTAGATGATGGCGTTGGACGCTGGTTGTGACGGGATGCCCATGACTACAAGTACTGTCTGCGATAGGATGAAGTCTAGAAAGATGGGTAGAAGATGCACGGAGCCACGAGGTCGGGAACATGCAGGGTTAAGACGGTTCGGCTGCCAAAAACTTTTGCTTGTTACTAACCCCCGCGCCTTGCTCGTTGCATCGCTAGCGCTGCGCGGAGGAGGGTCGCCGCTGATGTCAAGTTGATAGCAATCGCTGTAGCCGGCGCTCGTCCCCAGCCATGGACGTTTGCGTGGATTGCATGGGATGATGATGGAACTATAGACATTGGCTCGCTGCTGCTACTCGTGACAAGGTACACAAAGCCCCACGTGAAAGCCCAACAAGAACGCCCGTTGCTCCGTACCGCAGGAAATGCGGCAATCTGATATCAAGTGTTGGTAGCCGCCCTCTGCAATAGTCGGGTCAGGCGTGTCTACCACGCGTGTCTGTCCCAGTTGGGATCTGCTGCATGTTAGTCGTCGTCGTCGTCGTCACTGCCGTCGCAGCGCTGGATGGCTACTGACCCTGCACAAAGGCAGCCAGCACCTTGCTGCCCGTCTGCAGCAACGGATGGCCCACGACAATCTGGAGGAAGCGCTGGAGCCCTTCGCGTCGGTGCTCAATGACATCGTCCGAGAAGCGGTTGGTGAGCACCTTGCCCGGCAGCGGTGGTATTGTAACGCGCGCCGACTCGCGTTCGAGGATGTCGCGGAAAGCCTCAAACTCGCTGTAGCGACGGCGTACCGTCGACGACTTGAGCTTGAAGGCGGGGATGTTGGTGCGCATAACGATTTCGTACGTCGTGTACATGCCACGGCCGACACCTAGGCAGCGCATCAGCCCCCACTCGCGCGCTCGACATGTGCCGTCTACTCACCGTGTGTCATGGGGTTTCGGACCTGTGCACGCGACAATTGTGAGCAGGGCGGCGGGACAGCATCGGGGCATCGCAGCTTCTGGCAAGCCTACCTCGATCTCCAGGAAATTCTCGGGGGGCCCATAGAGCTCCTCGAAGCTTTGCGATCGCGCGTCTGGCAGCGACTGCATGGTGCAAGGTGTGTGGTGCGCGTGTAGGCGGCGGTGTAGCTGGCCGAGGGCTGGTCGCGCGAGAGGCAATGGCGGGGCTGTCGCGAGCCAACTGGCCCGACGCCTGCATACAAGCAGTCGCTGCTAGCATCGCCTCCTCAGCCACATCACGCTCCACCAATTCATTCAAATCGCGACATCGAGTTCTGATATACATGTGTATAGCGTAATGCCTTAGGTGCTCCAAAGTGTGTCTGATTTCTGGTTTGCTCAAGAAAGCTGTTACTTAGACTGTCCTTTTCCTTTTTGCCAACGACGTCATTGTTACTCCACATTAGAACTACCTAGCCGCTGCGCTCGAGCTCCGGTAGAATACCGAACTTCCTGATCGCTTTTAGCATTGTCAGAGCAACAATACCATTGCCATATTGGAGACCATTATCTGCACGGTCCACAACCACAACAATGCCTGAGATTATTCTCTCGATCAACGCAGGATCCTCTAGCGTCAAGATATCCGTCTACAAGACTCCAGAAGATGGCTCCTCGGTACCGAAACAACTCGCTGAAGCTACCGTCGAAGGACTTACCGCGCCGCCCTCGAAGCTAAAGTACGAGCGCGGAGATGAGAAGATTAATGGTCAAGAACTGGAGCATGTCACTTCACAAGAAGACGGATTCCGCTACATATTGGACCACCTGACCAACGACCAAGGTCTTCCCGAGCTCAACCGAAAAGAAGACATACATTTCACATGCCATCGCGTAGTGCATGGCGGAGACTACCCCAGAAGCCAGGTCATTGACAAAGAAACATACCACCACATTGAACAACTCTCGGATCTAGCACCTCTCCATAATGCACCCGCTCTCACCATCGTCCGAGCCGTGGCAGACATCCTCCCTCACGCGAAAAACATTGCCTACTTTGACTCATCCTTCCACAATACGCTCCCAGACTACATATGCACCTACCCAATCGACCAAACCGTTGCCCACAAGAACAAGCTGCGCAAGTACGGGTTTCATGGCATAAGCTACTCCTTCATCGCGAAGGCGGTAGCAACACACTTGAGCAAGCCGCTCGAACAAACCAACATCATCGCCCTGCATCTCGGATCCGGCGCTTCGGCATGCTGCATCAAAGGTGGAAAGTCGCTCGACACGACAATGGGTCTGACGCCCCTCGCTGGCTTACCAGGTGCTACGCGCTCGGGCTCCATTGACCCTTCTCTCATGTTCCACTACACGCATAGCGCTGGCAAACCGTCGCACAGTTCTAGCGAAAAACTGCACATTACGCAAGCCGAAGAGATTCTGAACAAAAAGAGCGGATGGAAGAGTTTGACTGGTACTACGGATTTCGGGAAGATTAGTTCTTCAGAGAGAAAAGAGGACAAGCTTGCGTTTGACATCTTTGTTGATCGCATTTTGAATTATGTCGCACCGTACTTTGCCAAATTGGATGGTGAGGTTGATGCGCTTGTCTTTGCCGGGGGTATTGGTGAGAAGGGAGGGAAGTTGAGGCAGGCCGTAGTGAATGGAGTCAGGTGCCTAGGTTTCGCTCTCGATGAGGAGAAGAATGCGGAGCAGGTCGAGCATGTGGTTACAGATATCAGTGTTCGCGATGCAAAGTACAAGACATTAGTCGTGCAAACAGATGAGCAGTTAGAGATGGCGAGAGGAGTTTTGGGTGATAAGGACAAGCATGGAAAGGATTAGCTATCCAGAGAAACTGTGGAGCTGTTCCTCTATTCTTGATGCTGGGCTGGTAGTCTATAGCCTGCGATGAATGTCTTGGTGCCTTGTATAAGTATATGTCACTGGGTATCGCTCCCAAGTGCTGTGATGTGTTCCGTTTACCCAAACGCCACCCATGCTCCGATCCAATCCCCTGTCAAACGCCATGCAAATGCACTAGGAAAACGCGAATTCTGGGGGCAGGTCTCCCGGGGTCTGAGCCGTGCTGTTCTGGCGAGATGACGAGACGGTTCGCGATTACGACTGGGAAGCAGACTATACTTGACCAATGGGCGCTCCAAAGTTCAAAGGGGGGCTTTTGAGCCTGACGCCGTCGACAAGTTTGGTGGCGCACGGATTGCGCGATGCGGCCGATGCCTTGTGACTCAATGGCAAGTCCTCTTGGGCGTTCTCGGCGGGTGCGGGGGGAGCTGCAGGGTCGGGGGCACCCTTGAGTTTGCTGAACCTGTCCTGGTCCTTGGCAACCTTTTCGAGTACATCGTCCAGCACTTCGAGTGCTATGTGGTCGCTTGCACCATCGACGGGATTGGTAGGCAGCATCAGTGGGCCTATCAAGGGCTGGTCTTCTGGCGGTGTGCCCGCTTGCTCTTCCTGGGCAGGCGGCTCTTGCACAGCGGGCTGCTCGTCTTGCACTGGCGAAAGGGCGCGTGGAATCAGCGGAGTATGGCCGGCAAAGCGCTTGTTGGCTTCGGGCAACGGGGAGAGGAGAGCGTGGGTCGGAGGCGGAGAGGGGAGGACTTGGTCGTCGACATCAGCCGGGGGCAGAGAGATGCGCGTGGGCATGCCCGGCCGTCTGTGTCGCCTCTGGAGCAGGCTCTGCAACGAGGCGCCATTGGAGTCGAGGGTGCCCAGCTGGGCGCCGGTCACCATGTTGTCGAGGCCCTGCAACTTGTCCGTTACCATCTCGGCGGGCGGAGTGGTAGTGTCGGGTGCCGTGAAGAGGATGTCAGGGCGGACATGCATCCTGCAAAGGCCAGCCCAAACGGTCTGGGTGTGAGCGTCGGCGTATGGCCTGCAAAGGTGAAGATACCGAGTCAGTCTATGTCGTGCATGCACTTCGTATAGTCCATCTCTCACATGGTCAGGGTGCATCAACTCTCCAAGGCGGTTAGTCGACTTCTGCGCCTTCTGGGGGCAGCAAACCAACCTACTGCACACTGCGGGCTCGTGGGCAGCGTCGGGTGGTGAAGAGACGAGCCAAAGCGGGATGCGTCGGAGTGGAGGGCGTAAGACTGGGCGATGGGAAGCGGCTGGCAGGAACGGCGTGGGTGAGATGTTGCTCATATCAAGGGGACGCAGCCAGCGCACATGCAGCGACGCGGCACGCGGCTACGGTGAAAGGGAACCCGCCCACGTCATAGCCGCCGGTTCCTGGCTGCATACGTCGCCCCCACCCATTGCAGCGCCGTGTGTTTTCCAAGGTTCCTTCTCCTGCAGCGCTCGCTTCTGGTTTCACGCTTTGTTTCTTAGTCTGCCAGAATCTCCAAGCCACCCGCCTTCGCGCTCGGCTGCCATGAGCGGGTGCCCGTGACCCGCGCCATCTCGCGCCATCTCGCGACATCATCGTCTCGACCGATACCGCGCGCGCACCACTTTGGTCGACCTCGTAACCCTTTTGAACATCGCTACCCTTGGCGACATGGAACACGCCTACACGTGAGAGCTCATTGGCAGCATAGGCCCTGGCTCCGATCGAGACCTAGATCCTGCTCTTCTCTCCCGCCTTGGACGCGAAGAGGGGTAATGTGTTGCTGAATGCACTCTCGAATTAGCCTCCGTGAACACAACAGCTGCCTACTCGTTCCTGAATCTTCCAGCCGTCTCTGTCTGCCCGATAGACCCCATTCCGGCGTCTTCCGCTTCAGTTGCACATCGCCCCTTCTCAATTTGCATGGCTGGTAATCGCTACGCCCCCACTGCGCCAGGCCATGGATGCATTCCCGTACATCTCTCCGCAACTCAAGTACTCAGGCTTGACCAGGAAAGAAAGAGGAGGGCCGGCAACAAGGGAAAAGCCTGCTACCATGGACCAGGCTAATTCACCAGGTACCAATTCGGCACAAGCAGACCCCATCAACACAGCTCGGGAACACGACTCCATGAACAATCGCAGCTACGCGATTCCATTCCCCGGTAGCATGAACTCATCCGAAGATGACCTTCCACCATTTCCGGATGCTGAGGTTTCCTCACTGGCACTGGACAATAAGCCCGGTGCACGTTTGCACTACACGTACTACCCTGCATCCAAACCTCACGGCGGCCATCCGAACCCTTTCTCGCAAACGCTCATCGTTTTCCTCAACGGGCTCATGATGCCAAGAAGCTCATGGGATCCTGCCATGCGCAGCTTTCTGGAAAAGAGAATAGTGGGGCGTCTACCGTATCCTGCTCTGTTGAGCTACGATAGATATGGTCAAGGAGATTCAGATGCTGATCCCGACGACCAGCAACCACCCCCGTCCCACGGACACGACGCGATATCTGCAGTCAAAGCACTGAAGCAATTTACCCTACAAATCTGGAGGGAACACCTTGACGTCAACAAACCTACGCACTACCCCTGTCTCATCTTTGTATGCAACAGCATCGGCTGCGCACTTGCAAGACTCTTTGCGCAATGCTATCCAGGAACCGTATCTGGTCTGTTGTTCCTGGACAGCATCATGGCCAACTCGGACTACCAAGACCTGTGGCCGGACCCCGATGCACCAGACTTCAACTCGCACACACTACCCGAAGGTGTCACACAAGACGAAGTACGAGCTACCAGAGAAAAGTATAGAAGAATGTTCCATCCCGACGTCCCTAGTCAAGAGGGGTTATCCAGACGTAATCTGCCACAACTATTACCCTACGCAGATGCACCAAAACTCGAGGGCTACTTGGGCAGAGGCCCGTACCTCACAGTCGTAGGTCATGACTGGGAAACTTTTGCCGAGCAGTCGTGTACGTACCTGTCTCTTTCCAAGTCGACGCTTGGACTACAGAGACTAACCCGGCAAATAGACGAGGGTACAATGCAGACACCCAAGATTCTGACCATGACTTATGCCAACCCCGCTTGGCGTCGCTACAACGAAGGTCTCTGTCGCATCACGGACGAAGGCAAAGCCATAGGTCCCATCACAGCTGTCCGCTGTGGCCACTTTATCCAACAAGACGACCCCAGATTCGTGAGCGATGAGATGGTCAGCCTGCTCGATAGAGTCGTAAATCGAGTTCAGCAGGTTAGCCAGCGGGACTAAAGTGTGAGTATCTCTTGGAGCCAGAGTAAACCAAACAGCGCTGTATAAAGGGTCCGTAGATATTGTCGTGTACATGAAATGCCTAGTGTCTAACAAACAAGATTGCGTAAGGATCGAAAGGTCGCGCGTATATACAAGGATGTGGCATCCAATCTCAGAAGTCGTCCATATCTCCCATGAAATTGTCCTCGGTTGCGTCAACAGCCTTGTGCCCCGCACTCGTGCTGTTGTTGTGATCTTCTTCTTCTTCAGCTTCAGCCTCGGCCTCGTTGTCGTCTCTTTGCTCGAGCAGCTTCCTCTTCTCCTCGTCAGCCAAGCCCGCCTTGTTCGCAGCCTGCATCCTCACGCTCAATGGTCGGTTCTGCATATAGCTCTCCATGTAGCTGGCTCCCAGACTACTCGGATATCCGTAACTGCCCGCTTGATCCACATCGTCAACACCACTCCCGTGTAAGCCGCCGACGTAAGTATCGAAATTCGTGTCGTCATCTGCGAGGTCGTCAATTTCGAGTTCAGCACTCGTAGCTGGTGCGGTCGAGTAGATGGGGTCTGGGCCTGCGGTGTCCGGGATCGTTTGCGTGATGTGTTGGTGTGGAGCGGGCGAAGGGTCGAGGAATGTGGGTGTCGCGGTCTGTGTAGGGCCCAAAGGTATGCTGGGGGACCGTGGGGAGGCAACTGGGGGGATGTGGGCGGCGGCGACGGATATGGGTGTCGGGGCTTCGGAGAGGAGCTTTGAAGCCGAGTTGATGGCGTTGGTCATGGGGAGAGGTAGGCTGTGGTGCACGGCGTCACGGCGTTGGACATGGACTGGCGGGTCCGGGGTGGTGAGTCGCGGATCTATCATGTCGTCGAGCGAAGCGGTCGAGGTGGAAGCCGATGTTGCGACGCTGCTGGGCGAAGCCAGAGGTGGTTCGGCGACGGTGTCTGCGGGAAGGACGGTCTGGCCATGGATGACCAGACTGACTCTCTTCCGGCGCGATCGAGGCGTGTCCTTGTGCCGCAGCGCAGACTTCTTGGCTGGCAGCTTCAGCTGGGCTGGCTCTCGCAGCGCCATGGCCGCGGTGTCGAGGGCGTCGCTCGTAGGCTTCGGGTCGTCTCGGGCGTGCTCAGCATGTCCTGCGGCTGGCGTCTTCTTCTTTTCGGGCGAGCTGTCGCGCGCATCGAGCAAGGGAAGGAAGACGGGCGTGACGAGTCCATAGAGCTCGCGCTCCCGCTTGTGCACGCGCGTGTGCTTCTTGAGCCGCATCCTGTCGTCGGGCGCCGGGTCGAGCGGTGCAGCAGGGCCCTGGGCAGGCCCTGGGCAGCTCTGCTCTGGCACTGCAGGCGCAGGCTGCTGGTCGCCTGCCATGTCGCGGTACCGGTCTGCAAGCTAGGCCCAAATCAGTCTCTCACGGCACGCAGAGAAGGGGCCGGGACGCCTACCTCGTGGCCATGTCTGCGCAGCTCGGCCTGCTTGGCCGCGATGTAGTCCCGGATGTCGGCCTCGAGCTGCTGCCTCCTCAGCTCGACGCTGCGGGCCAGGGCGTCCAATTGCTCTCTGGTGCAGCCGGGGACCTCGGCCAGGCCCGCGTCGGCGGTGAGAAGCATCGACTGCAGTTCCGCGTTGGGCATGTGCCGGGCTGGCGTCGGTCGCCTTCGCGTGCTGGTAGAGGGCGGAGAGGTCAGTCGTCGCGTACCTGGTGTCGGGAGCGCCGCATTCGGGGGCTGACGGGCGGTTGGCCGGCGCCCAGCGTCGCAAAGCTTGATCGCGTGCTCGGGCGGCGTCCAGATGGTGCTTGCAAATCTCTGCCTCCGCCGCCGGTCATGAGGGGCAGCGCTCAGGGTGCCGCCCTCGCACGCTTTCGACCCGGCTGCGATTCCGACACACGCCTTGCCCTTTCAGGCAGGGCTCCGTGGGGGCTCTCCCATGCACAACACACGTACATGTACATCCGCTCCGGCATGTGCCAAGCCACCCTGCTGACCGACAGGACGTCGTACAGACGCCGACGTGGGATAGTGCATCAGGAACTGTCAGGAGCTGCCATTGCTGTCTGCTCGCCTTGCTACGAAAGCCATACAGGATGCAACCTTTCCAGGAAGCCGGCGTCTACATTTACAAAGCTTCGCCAAAAGTCCATCTCATACATCTTGCGCGTCTGCGTAGCCCACGTCACCCCTTCACTGAGCCTCCGACACTCGTCTGCGTCCTTGCCCATGACCAGGATCAGATCCCTGGCAACTCTCACCTGGTCGCTCCATATCGGTCTGTATTTGTCCATTATATCGCTCACGATCTTGTGCGTGTTCCACTCACTGAGTGGCGAGTCCTTGGGCATGTATCTTTAATCCCAGTACCTGCCGCTATCGTCTGCGAATGTCTCATTCCCACTAGCTTCCATGGGGTAAAAGTGCGGAGCAGACCACATTCGCAGCGCCGAAAACCTGGCAGAGCCATGCTGAGCCGCGAACTTGTTTGCCGCCTTGACTATGTAGTCGCGATTCAAGGGTGTAGGATCCGCCAAGACGGCCTTGAATTTAGGTCTGGATTGGGCTCGGAAATCAAGGTAGAAATCCAGCGCGCGGTTGGGTTCGGCGGCGGCAGTTGCAACACCTTTAACTTGGGGTGTGTAAGCACTTTGTATGATGCCGGCTTTGTACAAGGTGATAACCACGGTACGTATCCTTTTACGCCATTCTATCGGGTAAATATCGTAGACAGGATCAAGCTTGCTTCGCTGATTGCGTCTCAGGAGCTCGTCTCGATCTCTCCACAACTCTGCTGGCATATATGGGTTGCTGACATGGCTTCTTCGATCAGGGGTTCGCTTAGCTCTTTCTTCTTGGTCAAACAGCAGGGAAGACCGGAATGGTAGGCCGTGCTCGGAAGCAAGAAACTCTTCCGTCTGGTAGAACAAGGCGATGGCGGCGTAAGCCTGGAAGCCTCGTCAACGATCCGACGTTCACTTTGGATGATAGGTGCCATGTACATGAACTTGCAGAGCTCGAACGGGCCTGTGTTGATGTCGCTCATGACAAACTTGTCCATGGCCGATACCATGGACTTGTGCTCCATATACCGGCCGAGGCCACCGGGCTCCAGGTCGCCCATGTGCAATGCCTCTTTCTCAACTAGAATGCAACTGTCAGTTGATGTCACTCTAAGCGATGATAAACTCATCCCTGTGTATTGACCGTTGCATATGGCTCTTGAACAGCTCTCGAATGAGATGTTTCCCTTGGATATCGTATTCTCGCTGACGGCGTAGAGCCGTTCTTAGCGTGTCCATAAGCTTCGAAGGAGAATCCCTGAGTTCGCTTGGTATCACAGAAGCACGTTTAGGGTCAAACATAGGTAAGAAATGATCGTAACCCAGTGACCTGTCCGCCCATTGAAACTGTGGGATCAGCGTTCCATGATTACCGAATGCGTCGAGTTCTCTCTTCGAAGGGAGCTTGTCAATCGCTTTTCCGGCCAGGATCCTAACAGGAGCGTCGTTCGCCAACATGCGCCACAATGACACTGCTCTTGGATCGTTCGTTTTCTGCGATCCCTCGTCGGATTTAGCTTCGGATGCATCGTCAGAAGCAGATGACTCTTCATCAGTGCTGGCATCGCTGGCAATTCTCCACCACTTCCACTTTGTCCTCCGGTTTATCTTCCCAACAATCTCTCGGGGGAAGGGTGGCTGCGACTTGTCGCCAGGTGCGCGCGCAGCATGTCGGGGCCATGATGGGAACGAGGAAGCCAAGCAGCACCTAGGGCACAAGATCTCTCGAGCGTGGTTGAGCATTCGGGTGCGACCATGTGGACAGTCCTGGGGAGCGCGCGGACGCTCGAGCCAAAACGCTAACCACGTGGCCCCACAGCCTGGAAAGAGCGGTGACTCGGCCTTCTGCCGACATCTGGAGCCACCACTATGATGACGGGATTGATGGTATGATTGACTCCATGTTGTTTATGAATAATACAGCCCCCAGCAGCAGGAGTGATGGATTGATGAGCCTATGCGACTTGTCCGCGCGCAGCCCCCTCGAGGTCTAGCCGCCTTATGCGCGCTACCTAGGTAATCCCAGAGCAAGCTACACGTGCCAGTTTAGCACATGGCGCTCGCCATCGTTTGCCAGAGACTCTAGAGACGAAGCAGTAGCGCGCCCAGTCGCCTCGTCGACTACTAAATCATCTAGCTCTACATAGTTCTTGGATCCACGTGATCCACGTCCGAACACTTCCTTCACAGATTCTCCGCTGACCGATATATCTGGCGTCTTCTTGCTCAATTGTCGTGTGCTCAATCGGTTCCCCGAGCTCCCAGCGTTGGAAGGGTTCGATCTTGATTTGCTTTTACTCTGGCCCGTGTAGCCTTCCATCGCCGAGTTGAAGGCCTGCCTGAAAATGACGCGAAGTACGGGAATCGAGGTAGCCACGATGGCCATGGAACACTCTGCGACGGCCCATATGATGGAGTTGTACGATTCATCTGTGGCTGTTAGCAATGATCCGTGCACGCCTTGAGATGCCTTACATGATACATCCTGGACTGTCAATTTCTCAATGTATGTGGATCTGATAATTGACGTAACTCCAGCTCTTCGACCAAGTCAGCGCAGTCTTCAATCCGGCGATGCATGAACTTACAGTATTCCCAGACTCATGGCGACACCTGCACCGATCTTCTCTGCGGTACGCATTTGCAGGTTCCAAAGGATTTTCCACGGCAGCACAGCAAGACACACATCCATAAGTGCTGACCACACTGCGTCGCATGTCAGCTAAGGAATCAGGGTACACACTTTGAGGCTGTCTGCTCACCAGCTTGGAAACGCCCATACACGACAGAGGGATGCTTGTCAATGCACTCGCCCGGTATGAGGTCCACAAAGGTTTTGGCCAGCGGTTTGCATTGTACCCATGGTATGACGGTGGCAGGGACTGCGAAAATCGCCAGGGTAGAGATCGCAAAGATTACGAAAAGTCTGACCCGTCCGTCCGTCAACCGAAGCAAAGTGAGTCCAAAGGAGATCTTGCTGAGCGCAATAGCGACGGTATATATCGTCAGTTCCGCCGCGCCGATATACATCATTTTATCAAGATTGCGCAAATCGACTAGCGTGAAGATTAGCGTTCCGAGCTGTGAAATGTGCAATTCTCCTTTGGCAACTTACGGTCAAGTGTATGTTTTCCGTAGCCTATGTTGATAGACAGTTGGTTTATGGTAACTTGGACCAGAAGTAAGATCTATGTCGTATGAGTCAGCTGCTCTTTGCTTAGGGATGTTGTGGCACTTACCCAACTGACGGAAAGTGTGCAATCGTCCAGCCACAGCTTCCCTTGACGCTGCCGAATATAAAGCCGCGAGAACAGAAAGACTGCGGAAACAGAAACGAGCGACCAGGTGACGACGGACATGAGCGGTCCATGGCTCTCGTCTGGGTTGCTAACCCAAGAATCGTAGGCAGCCATTTGGATTGGACTCAAGAATAACGCAAAGGAGAAGGAATTGAAGCGAATGCTCCTTGGCGCTATATCAAGATCCAGTTGTGGTGCTTCGTTACGATGCTGACGTGGGACAAGGATCCAGTTTATATCGAACGATATCGAGTATACTTAGGGTTGCGGATGTAATTTGGCCACCTGGGTAGTGGCCGGTATTCACCCTTTTCCTTGGGTGGTGGGTACCCGGCTGAGATCCGTCTCCTATAACGCAAACTAGAACATTGGGGCTGTTCTGAAGTACAAACTTGGCATATGCTTGTGGGGACGCTTAGAATAGTACGTAGGTATCATTGTTCGCCGCCAATCATGCAGTGGGGTCTCTCTGCGCGAGGCTTGAACTCGCATGCGACCCTACTTGGAGCCCACGCCGGGTAATGCACCGATCTTGTTGCATTGGTCCCCGAAAGTGGTTTGTTACCCATGATCGGCTTTTGGAAACTATAACGTCTTCAGTCCGACGTTGTCCCTGCGTTGGGCTCTGACTTGGGTAGCGAGGAATATACCTTCAACCTCCTAGCACGTATGAACGACGGCCTAGGTAGACATCATGCCCGCTAGACCACATGCGCTGGTCTCGGATGCGTCTTGGCCCGATGTGTTATTGCCGGCGGGTTTACATGCCCAGGTGTTCACCTGCGCAATCTCCATTTCCGCCGCATGGAAGTAGGGCGAGGGCGGGATGCATAGATCACTCAATCTTCTTGCAGCCTCACGCGTGTTGAAAATAGATAACCCGCTTTTGATCGATGCGGGCAACGTTCATCGTCTCTGTACAACGTTGGTCAGCCAAATGCGGTAAAAAAGGCGAGATCTAGCTGCCGATCTAGAGGCTTAACTACCTAGGTACCCACCCGAACACGGTCCGGCGCGCTTGGATCGCCGTTCAGGGCTCAAAAGTCTTGGGACACTCGCTCGACATTCCTACGATGTACCCAGTGCAAGCCTAACTTTTTGCCTAGGCAAGGCTCGAGCGCTTTATTCTCCTTAACACCAGTCGCGGGATTTAGCATACCCGGGAACGGACTGAACCATATGGCTCGCGCGAGCGGATTACGGCTGGTCAAGGCGTGCAGAGAGAACGCCCACGTCGATCTCTTTGCTCAGGCCCTCCACCCTGCGATTTGAAGCAAGTAAAGCGGGCTGTCATGACTGTGCTGGAAGGTACCTGACCCCGGATTGGCATCTCTATCGGCGACAGTTAGATGAGAGTCATGGCGGCCCACGTATGTGCAGCACTCATTTGCCACTATGAAACTTAAACGATCCGTCCCTGTCGCTGACCGCATCTTCCTCAATCCAACTACACGTCCTTCCTTCACACTCTTTCCCGAACATCCGAGCTTGTTGTTGCAAACATGAGGGTCTCAGTACTATGCAGCGCATCGCTCTTCTCATTGGCGACCTTCGCCTTCCCTGCGAGCATGCTCAAAGGCGACATCAGTGAAGCGACCCTTGCGGAAATCACCGCTTTGACAGAGAATATCTCAAGAGATTTCGAGAGCAAGCGATCGGGTACCCACGTCAAACGTGCATTCAACGCAGAGGCTCAGCGCATCAGTATCACTGGTGACCATAAATACGTGAGTAGCCCTACCGAGATGCGCGACATGTAGTTGCATTTGCTAACGACTTCGTTGTCAGATTGCGCCAGGCCCCAATGATCTCCGTGGACCCTGTCCTGGTATCAACGTGATGGCAAACCACGGTTACCTTCCCCGAAATGGCATCTCCACAATCACACAAATGACGACGGCCGCCAATGAAGGTCTGCATGCCTTTACGCTCTTATTCACGGACTGCTAACAAAGTCAGTGTTTGGCATGGGCCTGGATCTTTCCGCATTTCTGGCAGTCTACTCCGCCGTCATGGCCGGTGATCTCACCTCCTTTTCGATTGGCGGCAAACCTAAGACTGGTGGACTCCTAGGCGGTGTCACCTCATCACTCGGCCTTCTCGGAGAACCACAAGGCCTGAGTGCGTCACACAACCGCTTCGAGGTTGATGGATCGCCCACGCGAGGGGACTTGTACTCAACGTATGTCATTCCCGTTTCTTCTGCATGTTGCATGGTCAGCATAACTCATTACTCGTAGTGGCAACCCCATCTCTCTCAACTTGGACTATTTCGAGCAGCTCCTCTCTATGCCTCTCGGCGAGAACGGGATTGATATCCCCGTCTTGACCGCGTTCCGTCTTGACCGCACGAAGCACTCGATTGCTACGAATGGACATTACTTCTCAGGCCCACTCACGGCCCTTGCGCTTAACCCCGCGACATATCAATTCACCTACCGTTTCTTCGCCAACCACACTGCTGAAAACCCAGAAGGCTACCTTGATGCCGAAACACTCATGTCATTCCAGGGTGTTACTGGAGAGAAAGGTAATTACAAGTGGGCTCGTGGGCAAGAGAAGATCCCCGAGAACGTGAGTACCCACGGTAACACCATCCGCTTGCATTCGCTAACACACATCACAGTGGTACCGCCGCGTCATCGGCGACGACTACAGCATCCTGGCCTTCACTTCCGAAGCCCTTTCGCTCGAAAAAGCCCACCCCGAATTAATCCGAATCGGCGGAAACACTGGCCAGCCAAACACGTTCACTGGCGTCGATGTTGACGACTTGACAGGCAACGTTCTCAACGCGCAGACGCTTCTCGAGGGTAATAACCTAATGTGCCTTGCGTTCCAGGCTGCCAGCGAAGCTGCTCCTGACGTCCTCCGCGGATTAGTTGGCAACGTCTTGATCGCTGTGCAAAAGTTGGCTTCTGTTCTAGACCCGATTATTGCGGAGCTTGGTTGCCCCGAGCTGATTAAGTACGATGCAACCCTGTTGAAGGCTTTTCCTGGTGCCGGAAGTGGGATGTAGAGTGCGACTCTATGTCTAGCGAACATGACAATTAGACTTTTTGCCTTCAAACCCTTCTTGTATTAATATCACGAACCTTTTATCGACCTTACTTGTCTTTGTGCCACACGTGCTTCAAATTAGCGAAGTGAGATGTAATAAACTACCGTGGTATTCTTCCGCTATTCGATGCTTCTCGTGTATGCGTATATATCATGTATCTATCGCAACGCATTAGATCTCTAGTATCTCCCACTATCAGATACTTTTCCGCGCCATCTTGGTTTCCGTCTCTACAGCATCTTCTAGCGAGTTAACGGCGATATGCCATGCTTCTTGTGGAGGGAAACGTCGTCTGAAACCGTGAAGATCACGACGAGTATAGAGGAGACGAAGAGATTGAGCCTCTGACATGGTAGACTGAACTGTGTGGGCGTGGCTGAAAAGTGTGAACACGTTAATTAGGATTGATGTACACTTGCATGAGCGCACTATCTACTTGCTATGTGTATTATTGTAGCATATGTATTTCCTCATATGCTTCGCAAGCCAGTCCTGTCCTCCTCAAACAGAGGACGGACTTGTCGTATAGTCTACCTTGCAACGAGGCGTACGACTTGGTTTCTTTTCCTGTCAACGACAGCAGCTTTGCCAGCAAGTTTACTCTTCAAGCTTTATGAGAGCTGCGGTGGGTATGCCTCTGCCTTGTCATGTCGTCTTGCATTCCAAGGTGACGTATCGCTTTTATGACTGGGAAGGAATGGCCTGTTCATCCACGATACCATCTGTTGCCCAGCACAGCCGCATGCTTGCGCCGGCTTGTTAATGTTTCCACCGTAATGTCACCCAGCAGACTCAGTCGCCGCCTTCCTCTTCTTTCCGCTTTTCTTCTGCCTCAGCCTTCTTCTTGTCCTCCCATTTCTGTTTCTTTTCCAACAGCTTCTGGAGATTCTTTGCGCCGTTAAAGACACCATACGTCTTGGCACTACACGCCGCACATGTGGGATCTTTGCGATATCTCTTCAAAGCGCAAGGCTCGCAGAAGTAGTGTCCACACTTGGTGATGATGGGGCTCTTGTAGGGCGTCTTGCAGATGATGCAGACAAACGGTATCTTTTCGAGTTGCGCCAGATCCATTCCGTCTTCGTCCTTTTCCTTCTCATCCCTGTTGGCAGAAGCGACAACGGTGCCTCCAGGTTTCTTGCCTTTGGTCGACATCTCCCACTCGCGGTCTAGCTTCCAGCCTGCCGCGTAGTCTTCGCGCGCGTGCAAAAACTTGCAATTGTCGCCGAAGCCACAGAAACCAGTCTGCTTGTAGTCCTTGCACACATCCGGCGTGTAATCTGTAACGGTAATCGTCCGTATGTTTGTCGATGCTTTCATGGGTCCTACTTGGCGACTGGGAGCGTCGGGGTTCTTCTCGATGAGTTGGTGAGGCTTCGTTCGCGTGCTGCCGAGCAGGTTCTTGGAGCTGAGAGCGTCTCGGGCATTTTCGTCGTACCAGTTTGACTGCTTCGTCGCATCGTTGCTTGCTTCCATGACCGCCGAGCGATTTGCTGCGTATTGCGTTGTACTTGCAACTGCCGCGTGCGTCTTCTGGTCTGCAGTCGACGCCTTGAGTGCGTTGTCGTTGACTTTTCGCCGCTTCACCACGCGGCCATGCTCGCCCTCTCCTTCTGAGCCGGAAGAGAAATCCGAATCCGACTGCGGCGGCGGCGGCGGGGCCACCTTCCGGGGCGCAGCTTTCGCTGCTCGCTTCTTGAACTTGACGACGGGTGCTTCCATGCCGGGGGTTTCGTGGGTGGCGGAGGTGCGAGATGTTGGACATGTAGGAGTGAGGCACAGAGAGGCAGCCCAGCTGTGGCTGATTAATTCGACGTCACGTGATGCGGTCCGGGATGCCGGTCGTGGGGTAATGCGATGCGCGTCGTGCTTGGGTCGCTCCAATCGCACACGCAAACAGCCCCTCGGCCCGCGGCACTACCACGACAGTCTCGCAGTCTAGGCAGCAGACGTGCAGCAAGTGCCGGCGCGAACCAATGGAGGCGCAGACGTAGCTTTGTTGATGTTGTGGATATGTTATGGGTATCAGCGCTGGCTCCATGGCGAAAGCGTGAAAGCGGCAAAAGCGCACGGTCGCCTCATTTCGCTCTTGTGCACAACATCATGCGCTCTACCATGATCCCTCCTCTGTCGCCTCTGTAGCCCCTCCAGCCCGTTCGGCATTCCCTTGTTTTTCTTTCTTCGCCATCCCGCGCCCCTGCCTGGGGATGCGCCTTTGCTTCTTTTCTCTAGTGTGACGGAAACGCGACCGAGTGCCAGCAGCCGCTGCCGTGTCCCCAGTCGCTTTCCCGCGCGTCCTTGCCCCCCAAACCCTTTGTGCATTACACCCACAGCCCGACAGAGTGAGACGTACCATCGCTCTTGTCTCTAATACTACCCGGAAAACACCCCCGCCGCCGCCTGCCGCCGCGACACGCGCTCGCCGCCCACTCCTGCCCTGCACCGTTCGCCCAACGCATCCCGTCTCCGCCCGCCGTCCCGGGCACGTCTACGTGGAAGCGGGGGAGCCACGCCAGGAGATGACCCAATAGCAGACGCATCCAGCGACTCTTCATGGCTACAGCAAATCCTCCACCGGGCGCGCTCTCGGTGGAGCACCACAATGGCGCCGACCCCTTCCTCGCCGCACCGCACGACGCCCACCGGCAGCGATACTCGGCCTTCGACAACTCGCAATTCTCGCTGTACTTGAACGGATCCCCCCTACAGGCCAAACGCGCTCTACAGGCACACTTGGCAGAGACGACGCGCAGACTGCAGGAGACGTCGCATCTGGGGAGCGCGCTTGTTCAGCAGAGAAAGGAGCTAGAGGACAAGCTGCACGAGGTCGAGCAGCAGCAGCCAGACAACGACATCGGGCCAGAGCTGCGCCAGAGGCTGGCCGAGCTAGAAAAGGAGTTCAACGAGGTTGGAAGGGAGACGGCTCGCGCCTTCCTCCCCAAGTCTCGCGTACCCAGTGGCGAGACGGATCCCACTGCCGGTGGCTCCATCTACTCCAGCGACGCCATCCAGTCACCCACCAAAGTGAGCGTTCCGTCGCGGAAGCAGAGGAACCAGCAGCCCAGCCGCATCAATGACATCGCCCTGGCCACCGAAATCTCCACCTCTTTGCTTTCCCAGCTCAAGGACCTCCAGGCCGTCCTCCTCGAGAAGGATGACGCCCTCAAGGCGGCTGATCTGGACCGATCGCAGCTCGAAATTGAGGTCGAAGGCTTGTCGCAACGTCTAAGAACATTGGACGAAAGCGAATCGCGACTCAAGGACGTCAACTGGAATCTTGAGACACAGGTTCGCGAGTCGGAAACACAGTTCAAGTCGGCCGCAGACAAGGAGCGAAGCCTTAATCATGCCTTGGATCTCGCACGTACCGAGAGGTCCACTTTGGAGAAGGAGTTGGAAGATTTGAAGCAGATGTATACCAAGCTCAACGACGATCACATCAACAAGACCAAGCAGCACGAGACGGAGCTCTCTAGTCTGCGGCGAGTCGCGGCCATGACGGAGACGGAAAAAGGTGCAATGCAGCGCAAGGTCGAAGAGCTCATGACAAAGAATCAAGAGCTGGCTCAAGCTGTCGCTTACCGCGCAAGATCAGAGCATCGTGGCCGATCTGACAGATCGTCTGATGACGACCGTGGTGTCAGGCAGCAATCTCAAACGCCTGAACACTCGCCTGAACCGTCTCCAAGCAAGGCCACTCCGCGCCACGGTATGCTCGAATCGGAAACACTCAAACATTCGCTTCAACACGCCCACCGCATGATTCAGCAACTCAAGAACAATATCCATCGCGAAAAGACCGAAAAGATCGAACTGAAGCGCATGCTCCAGGACGCTCGTGATGAAGTAGACGCTACCCGCGCTCAAGTTGGACCTGGTAGCGCAAGCAAGCGAAGGAAGAGCGACAAGGATGCTTTCAAGAAACCCGCTCGACCAGATCGTCTTGGGGCCTTGCGCAACGTGTCGCACGAGATTGTAGAAGACGACGAGTGGGAAGAGCAAGAGGCCGTGCCCGACACCCCAAGTCGGCCACCGCACCCATCGAACTCTGTACCGGGCTCCTTTCCAAATGCACTCAGCTCCGTCGCGGGAACGAGCGCATACGAAAACCTCGACACTGCCAACGAAACCTCAGATGCTGCTTTCGAGACTGCCAACGAACGCGACGGTATGGCAACTGAGTCCGACGCATTCCAAACCGGAGCCGAGACCCTCGACGGAGACAGCAGCGACCAGCTGACTGAGACCGAGGCCGGCCCTTCCAACTCTGCTGCCCGGCGTAGTCGACCCTCAATCTCACAAGCTGGTCGCATCAATTCCTACCGCAGTACTGCTTCTGCCTCTGGCGATGAATACGATTCCGATTTCAGGACTCCTCTTCACCACAAGACTTCGCGCTTTACGTTAAGAGCTAGAGACAGCAGTTCGCGGAGATCGACGCCGAGAGGGTTAGATTTCTTTGCAGGTACGCCCCCAGCGTCAAGAGACTCGCCCGCGGGCTACGTCAGCAGCAGCAACGAGAACACTCCCGCACAAGGCAAGAGTCTATTGGCAGAACTCAACGACCTGAGTGGCGATGACGATGATGCTAGTTCCATCGAGGGATCACCAAGTCGATCCAGTGTCGTATACTCAAGCCATGCCACGCCAGATCCACTAAGAAAGGCTGTTCTCGGAAGGTCGCTTCTTCAACCCGATGCTCCCAGGCCAACTATGGTTGATTCGGGCACGATGACCGAACAGGATGCCCCCGAGCCTATTTCCATATCCTCTATATCGAGTCAGAACACAGAACCGTATGCTGCTCGCTTGCCTACATTACAAGTCTCTGCCCTGCATTCGCAAGGCACAAGCCCGCGAGCTTTGCCTCGTCAAAATCTCGACGTCTCCATGGTCACCTCACAAGACAGTGAACCCAAGCTTGCACTTCGGCCAGCCCTTGGCTTCTCTTCCGTCTC